CTAACTGAAAACTCTGAAATCTGATTAGGAGAAATAAATACAAGTTTAAAAGTGTGAAGTTACAGTTCAGACACTTAAGACATAACTAAAATGAAAATTTGAACATTTTGAATTCTTTTTTTGTGAAATAGATAAGGTTGTTGAAATAAAACCAGAATTTGTTTTAAATTAAATTTCCAAAGTGTGCACTTGAAATTACCAGGACATCTACCACTAAGGAAAGGGTTAACAAGTTAACATCTGTTTGAAGAAACTAAACCATATCAGCATTATAAATTTGTATAAAGTATATGCCACAGAGAGAGTATATCAAGTACATTTGTTAGCTATTTTACACACTAACAGAGGCAATGAATTATCATGTTCCATGTTTGAAGCACTAGTATTGGTAGATTACACTAAAGTGGTTGATCATCACACCTTATCTCTAAGAACAATATAATCCTGTATTGTTTTTGAGGGTTTAAAAAGTTATCATTTTCCTAAACTGAAAATGTATTTCCAAACATTCTTACCTCTGCTGACATTAATAGCTATTTCTCGATCTTCATCTTTGCCATCTAACATTGTGTTCACTTGCTCCAGTCTTTATATATCCCACTTGACTACCCTCAGCAATATATAATTTGCAAAACTTTATGCAAGCCCTCACACACCCTCTATGCAGGTACTGTATAAAAGCACTGTGTGCAGACTATAAAATCACTTTTTCGAGACTTACCACATTCTGGTCACTAGCACCAGCTCTTAGTGGGTAGGAAGGGAGGTAGAGTGTCAGCGGAGGTAAGTATGTTTGGAAATACATTTTCAGTTTAGGAAAATGATAACTTCCAAAACATACATACCTCTGCCGACACACATAGCTAGAATCCCACATTGAGAAGGTGGAGGGACCAGTGGGGACAGGGATCATACAGAAAGCATTTGAAGAGAACAAATATGTACCATGAGAATTGGTATCAAAGTGGGAAACACCACACTACATCCAGAACAGGTATGCTCTTCAACCAAATCTACAGAAAATTGAAAAGTGTGGAATATAATACAAGTATGATGGTCCAGCCCCAACCAATCAGGCGGGGTTCCACAACTCGGGTTGGATTTAAGGGGTCATGGTACCCATATCCCATGTTGATGGCCAGGGCAGTTGAACCACAGATGTATGCATCTTTGTGATAGGATCCCTACCAGTAACAACAGAATAAGGCATTTTGAACCACCGGATTTATGAAAGAAAGAAAGCAACACTTAAATGGACAATCCTTCTGATCAACCTGAAGAAGTCCAAACGGCAACATCCCAGGCCTGGATTGATGGAATCATATGCCATACTCCATCAAAGTCCAGAACTCATCCAGTCTAGATTTACAAACATTTGTCTTTACTCTCCCACCAAGTAGGCAAGGATAATTCCACTTACCCATGGAATTAAAGAGAGGAGGTGGAACACTGTTCCACCAAGGACTAAAGATGGGACCTCATCGCGTTCAGATTTATGGAGATAGTGGATCCCCTGCATGAACAACATAAGACCTGACAGTGTTCGTAAGAGGGTCCAAGCACCTCCCACCAGATAGCTAAGCATCAAATATGGACTGGTTTTATGAGTATGCTCCTGCTCCTACTGACATCT